GTTTATTCTTAGCTGGGTAGATCTGCGAACCTACAAACTGCAGCTAACGTCAACGACCATCGAAGCTAACGTCTTGAGTTTGAATTTAGCCGCCTCCACGCATGCGCAGTGTAGTTTAAAAGCTTATTTCGGTTTCTGCAGTAAAAGTTAACTTAACAAAAGATAGTTTATGACAGTAAGAACGTTTAGCTCGAATTAATCGAGAAATATAAACCTTCTGATGCTCATAAATACCGAAAAGTAGTTTTATCTGTACAGGAAATAACGTCAAGAAACCGGAATTGACCAAAGAGGGCGGGACGTTTTTGAATTCGTGCCGCTCCGTTTGACTGTTGACAAGTCTCATATTTAACGGATCGATAAAAGGTAGGAATTTATGTTGTGTTATTTAACCATGTCACACATATTAGTATGTTTCAGTCATTTGAACGCTTAACTTAAACCTAACCTAAGCTAACTAAACATTTGTGGTGAACTTTTTAGAAGTCCTTGTTGTATTTGGGAAAGAGCACCTAACTCCATTCAAAATCTGTCAATTTTTATTTTTCGCGTAATATCAAATATATTGGGCCTGGTATTCCATGATAACCATGATCCATACATATAATCAAGCAATTTGATAGGAGCCTACATAGGTGAGTTATATTTAAACAGGTCCAGTAAAGATGTTCTGGATAGATTAAACGTGTTTAATCAAATTATGTCTTCATACAGGTGCCTTTGTCATCGGTAGCATTGTATTAATTGGAGATAGAGCAATGTCTTCAAGAATCCCAAGAGGTGAGCAGAATTAGCTAATTTTGCTGACTGAATTAAAGTTCCTAAAGTCGGACACAGCTGGTGTCTGATTAACAATGTTATGTGTTTTCCAGGTGTGCAGTTACCTGCAGAAACAAAGAAAACCGTTCATAAACTTGAATCCAGAGACACAGTAACTGTGTCTGCAACAACAAATGCTGCCCAAAAATCAGATGGTGTCCTAAAATCTCAAAAGAATATATCAAGGTGAGAAATTGCAAACAAACTCTTCATAGTAAAAAAAACTGCACGTTACGACTTAAAATAATATGGTAAACTGTTGGGTAGACCCGTAACAAATCCATCTAGGCGGCATGGCACTTGGGCTGATAAAGATGATCCAAACACCGCACTACACATGACTCCTCTGCCACAGGTAGACAAAATTCAAGGGGAAATACTGCTGTCAGGAAGTTTCAAATCAGCGTGTTGAGTGTTGAACCTTTCTCCAGAAGTGTATGGTATATAGAAGAAATGGCAGTTAAAATGTAAAATTAAACACATCCATATTGTAAAGGGATTGAGTGCCCCACAAGTTCCAGAAAAGAATAATTTCCTTTCATCTCTTTGCCATACTTTAGTGCAAAGCATCATACACCCAAACTGTCAGGCTCCATATTTGCTTACATGTATTCGATTGAATTTATTTTACTTTTGTCTTCCAGAAAAAATGCTGCTCCTAAAGTTCACAAAGGGTAAGTCATACATTACAGTATTCCATCTCCTGAATGTGCAGTGCCCTTTGGCCACTTTTTTCACAACTTTATGTTGCACCTTTCTGTAGGGTGTCCACCAGGTATGGGCAACAGGCAGAGCTAAAGGAGCAAAATCAGCATTTGATGGCTACCAATGAGGAGCTGCAGAAAAACCTTACAGACACACAGGTGCAGAAAGCAATTTTAATGAAGTACTCGTAACATAACTAGATGCTTGTTTTCTCTTTGCTTGCTTATTCTTAACTATTATTTTTGAATACACCGGTTAGGCTCCTGGTAGAAAGCACATCAGCTAGGTGTGGTCTGGTAGTTAGAGAGGTGGGACCTCCTGGGCACTCCTTTCTTTTTTGACTTTATGCTACAATTTTTTTTTCTTTGCTGTTATTGCAGCAAAGAGTAGCTGAGTTGGAGCTGCAGTTCAGTGACCTTGAAAAGGAGAATGCTGAAGTACAGAAAAACCTGAAGGACTGTCATGTTCTCCTAGTTGCAGCCAAAATAGACCCAGGTGAATATTAATCCTCCATTTAAAAGGTGTGTTTTTGTCAGCTGTATTTCAGTTGTTGCTTGATAGAAAATAACTTCTTCTAATATAAAACCTCTTCTTAGTTTAGGAGAAAGAGTTGGAGAAGCTGCAAGACAAAATGAAGATCAAAGAAAAGAAGTCATGGTATGTATATTTTATTTTAGTTTTCTCTGTTATACATAGTCAACTTCAAATCAAAGTGCATTTGAATCAAACTCACATGAATAACTTGAAAACAGAAGACATTACAGTTATGGAAACATGCACTTATAATTATTCTATGCTACATAACCACACTATCTATCTATATCTAACTTTGGCTACCATAGGCAGACAGCTAGTAAACAACTTCCAATGTCTCTATTCAGAGTGTTTCCACAGACCTGCTGCATGAATTAAAAGCATTTGGAGACGTTGCATCACAGCAACGGGCTCGGCTAGAGGTGAGTCAAAGTCAGTGAAACTTTTGTACTGACCTGTGTAACTTTGCTGTTAGTTGTAGTTGATTTACTGGATGGCTGGAATGTATTTTAAATGTTCCTCATTTTACACACTTATCAGGAAATCCAAACAACAATGACAGCACTCGCTAAAGCACGGGAACATATGAGGCAGGAAAGGGAGAACTTTTCATTGGAGGCTGCGGAAATGGAAAAAGCACTCAAGGAAGCAGAAGCTCTCTTGTAAAAGAGTTTTGAGTTTTAAAAAAGTGTATATTTATGTAAAATGTGTGTTGAGTGTGAAACTAAATAAAGTATTCTCTTCTTCATGTTCCTTAGCCCACTCATATTTGAAACAATCAATACAAGCTTCTTATGGGTCAAACAGGATGTTCAGTTTTTTAAGTATATCACCTCATTTACAATTACCCATGTCCTGGTTGAGAGGAAACTTTATATTTAACAGTGTATCCTCAACTGAACACAGTGTGTGTGTGTGTGTGGTGGGTTAGGAGATCAGAGGGGCTGAAAATGTAATTTAAAAAAAAAACAAACTTGGTACTTAAGCAAAGGTTTTGTGTTACAGGTTTTTAAATCATTGAAAATCAGTAACTTCTGGTCCAAAGATAAACTATACAATGTGCTGTTAAAGCTATTTTCTTATATACTAATAATGATAAATTAAAATGTCAGGCAACATTCCCGTTAGTGTTGTACATTTGTTGTACATTGTTGTCTATACTTTAAGTTTAAGGTACTAGTTGTACTTATTTATATATATATATGTACGTATTTCATGCTAATTTATACTCTACTACATCTCAGATGCCAGTATTCTACTTTTTAACTCCACTACAATTATTCAATAACAAATTCGGATTATTATATACAATATAAATCAATTAATAAATTATTAGATTATGGATTAAGCTACCCTGCAGTGTATATAAAGTAGTTGAAATTAGCTGCACCTTTACCAACTGTAACATTAGTGATGCTTACACATCAATATGTCAATAATTATCCAATGATAAAATTTATTTTATCTGAAATGGGCCATTCTGCATGTTGAGTACTTGTTTTTTGCTACTAGTATATTTTGGTATGTAAGCCATACCATGCCAATATTTGAATGTACTTAAGTATTTTTACATTGTGGTATTGCTACTTTTACTTAAGTAAAAGATCTGAGAACTTTCACCACTGAGTCTCCATCGCTCTTTAGTCCCCATTCATCTTCCAAGGCTTTGTTTTGCTGGCATTTCCGTGTAGGGGTTCTCAAAGCTGTCCACGCTGGTTGTAAGTGTTTGGTGGTGGTTTCATGGTGTTTCTTGCCACTATTCTCTCTCCGGAGTGTCTGGTGTTGTAGTAGTAGACAAACAGGAAGAAACCTGCCGGGCAAAGAAAGATGGTCACTCATAAGGACAAGCTCAGTCTCTGAAATATAACGTACTTAGTAGTTAATCCCTACATTACACTCATTGCTGATGTCATACATACAGTAGGTGGGATATATTTTCACAGTTATCCACCCTTTTACTTCCCTTGTCTTTCTGGTTTTAATATAGTTCAAATGAGAATAATACAAGATTCAGAGCACTCCATGTTTTAGCCAATGCTACAGTAATATGATGGCAGGGCAGTCTGATTTGAGTCGAATAAAGTCAAGTAAGTGACATTTGAGTATGTGTGAGTATTCTGTTACTGTTAGGGGCCAAAAAAAAGTGGAGAACAAGTGGAGAGTGCCTACATTAAATGGACAGTGCTCTCAAATCACACCCAATCAAGATGTTTCTAGTGTCTTCTTAGAAAGTAGTTCCAATGAAAACACTGTCATGAGCACTCAAAATAAAACAACAACAACAAAAATTACACTCCTATTGGATTGGAGACAATAACAGATGTATAGCATCTGCTGTGGCACCATGTAAACTTTGGTAGAAGCAACAAATGTTTTTTGCATTGTACACGTGTTGTGCATTGGCCTACCATTAATTACACATGCAAAACTATTAACCACAGGGCTGTGAAGCAAGATGTAAACGCAACAGTTGCCCATTTACACATCAACAGACACATAGCATTCATTTGGAGTCTTTCATTTTTGGACTTCACCAACGCCTGAGGGAAATATCTGCCTCCTAAGCACCTAAATGCTAAACTGTGCTCACAAGCAGCAGGTTGCAAACAGTGAATTCATGAGAGCCTTTGAATTAAAACCAGCTGCCGGCTGCCACAACAGTAAAGCTGTGGGCCATAAAGTAGAGCTTAATTAAATGTGAGTTTTTCACTACGCGCGACCCCTTTCACACTACGGATAGTCTATTCATCTGTTGTTAATATAGAAGTATTAAAGCATCCAAGCAGCTTTATCCTGTGAGTAAAGAAGTAAAATCCCAACTACATGAGCAGTGAGTAAAATAAAATAATTTACAATGTAAAAAACAATAAATTTTAAAGATTGTTATTTAGAATTGCTGGATTATATCCAGGCTGATCACAGTTGTGGATACCTTGGAAAGAATTGAGGGTTGTGAAAATATTAGGAAGGGATCTGGAGGGCACCGTATGCAAAGAAGGCAAATCCCCATGTGATACCCAGAATGCAACACAGTCCGAGGATGGTTACAATATTTTTGCCACTTCTGCTGGCGTTGCTAATGTTGTCTGTTCTGGTTCTCTTAAGACAAAAGAACCAGGACAGTATGATGATGAAGGTCGTAAAAGTGAAGAGGAAGACCACCGCATAGTAGGCTATGTTGACAATGTAGTGGACGTTCCTGTCTGTTATCCAGCACCTTGGAACAAACCAACATGTCAGTGAAGGAATGGAAACATTGCTTTATTGTATGATTCTCTGTATTAAATATATAATCAACAGTCTTCAAAATTATTTGCCAACTCACATGGACACTTTTTCTTTAGTGTCATTAGTGTAAACACTTTCTTCACCATATTTTCCCATGATGACCAGGATAATCCCAATTACACTGGGTAGTACTGGAAATGGAGAACAAAAATTAACGATAAGCAGCTGCCCACTGAATTGCAAATATCATGTCCATGATTAGGTCCAACAGCAGGAAATGATGATGTATACTCACCCCAAGCGGTAATTGAGACTTTCAGTATGTAGTGGCGGATAACAATTTTGCCCCCATGTACAGCTGCAGCCAGAGGTGGAAGGCCTGGGTAGCAAACCAAGTGAAAGTCGCCAACAAAAAGTAGTGCATGAAAGCTGCCATGATTGTACAACCCACGGTGTTGTTCAGGTTTGCCACATAGTTGTTGATCAGAAAGGAGAAGTCAAGCAGGAACGTGGCCGACATCAGATGAATGAGAATCCATGTGGTATCACTGGTCTTGATCTCCCTGAGATTATAGACAATAGACAGATCATCATATTCTTATTCTGTAACCACTGTCCACATTACATTTTTGGGCTATTTTAATTACTTAAAGGCCATGGATGGTTTGCATCCTGCCGAAGCCTCCCTCTACTGCTTGCTTGGGTGGGTGATTTGCAGGCTGATCAACATCCCCACCCTCCTGTGACCCATGGTATGACTGTAGGACTACTTGTATTCAGAGCCAGTCAGTAATGGACTTTCAAATAACAGGCTAATGATTAAAAAAAAACCCTGCCAACTCACATGGACACTTTTTCGCATTATCGCGTTAATTAATTAGGCCGACAATTATTTTATCGCACGTTAACGCAGTTTTATTTTATTTGAAACTCCATTTCTCACTGGCTCTGAATACACATTGAAAGCGGGTAGGGTACAACCATGTGTCACAGGAGAGGCGCGATATTTATCAGCCTGCAAATCACCCACTCAAACAAGCAGTGGAGGGAGGCTTCGGCAGATGCAGCGTGTGCGAGAAGTAGATAAACAAAAGCAAGACAAGCCATCAAATGCCATGGCGAAGTGGATAGCTACACACTGCGTGCTGATTAGTATTGGGGAAGATGTCGAACTTAGGAACCTCCTTAAAATCACAACGTAGTCGCTTGGCGCTTGGTTCTCTCATGTAAACAAAAAGGGAGACAAGCCCTCCATGAGTAAACAGCGGGCCTCTAGAGTAACCATGGCAACGGCTTCTGTGTGCAATACATAACTAAACTGATAGACCTTCATCTAATCTTGCAGGGATGCTCTGTGAATTCCCTCCTGTTGATTTCCTATAGGCCTAATAGATTCTGGAAACTCACAAACAGCGAGGATCAGTCTCTCTTCCAATTATTTGTGCTGCACTTCGCCTACAAAAAGTTCAACACAATTCAGCAGCTTATATTTGATCTGATTAGTCCTACATTAATGTTTAAGTTGAGATTTACAAGAAATATTTTATTGCTACTGTGTAAAGGGAATACTGCTGGTAAAAAGCAACTTATTTGTTTAAAGTGTTTCCAAACCACATGTTATTGCACTTTTGTGTAACTACTTAACAGTATGTTTTTTAAAGTGCACAATACACTATAATTCATTACTCAATTTTGAGCATACAAATGCGATTAATCGATTGATAAAAAATTTCCATCGTTGCCCAGCACCAGAATATATATATTATATATATATATACAGTATATACATATACACACACACACACACATATGTATACCTACAGGGGCTCAGCATTTGGTCTCTAAAGAGTGCAAAGTGCAGTATTTGTCTTAAAATATTCCTGTGGCCATTCAAGGTGAGGATAGTGACAAATGGGATTTTTTTTTTTCATGCAGCATTCATTGGTTACATATTACATATTCCCAAAGCATTACCACAAGGAAGCTACTATTCAGTCTCATTTCCCTACAGTGTTGTTCAGTTTTGGAAAGCGGGTTTATTTACATGATCTTTCACCACAGTAACGGCTATGAAATAACAGAGCTATAAATGGGATGTTTTTTATGTTTACTTGAATGGTATTAACTTAACGTTTTTTTACTATTGCAGACTTTGAAGCTTGTTTTTTACTTTACAAATATTATAAATAAGTAGGCTAAAGAATTACGCAAATTTGTGATGTGGAATACAGGCTACCTGTGGATGTAACTGAATCGATTTTTACCAATTAGCTTCATCTCCTTATATTTGTTCACTGTGTTACTTCTGACTGAAATCAAGATTCATCTCTCATCCATCGCTACATTATGAGAAACCTCAGCAAGCAAATCACCTAAATTTTCATCTTTCTCTCTCTCTCTGGCTCCCTCTCTTCTGGACTGGACTATATATATATGGACTGGACTTATTTTATTTAGAAGACAATAACACATTCTTTTGTGTGGATGTTATTTCTTGATAAGTTCCTGTATGTTTCTTGAAAATAACAATTTAATCTGACACTAATTAGAGACAAAGTTCAGTTATTATTACCTTTGAAAGAAGTGCATATAGAAGACTATGCCGAGGAAGAACATGGACAAGCCACAGCCAACTTGAGTGATGATGGTGAGATTGTTCAGGTTAGAACTAGAAATGGTTTCATTTGGAGGAGCCTGCAAAGAGCAAACATTTCAAGAACACTTTTAAGCACTATGTCACAGGTACTGACAGTGGTAATCAGGATGAATTATGATGCACTTAATTACCACAGAGAGAAATGTAATGCTATGGGGGAATTTAAAAAGGAGGTAGCTACAGTACAGAGTGTAATCAGCCAAGACGGTCACACAGAGGAATGTCCAAATATGTGTATTCAACTGGGAATGTATATCATGAAAGTTTCATAATAGAAAGAAAACACACCATTAAGATAGCAAAAAATGTCAAATGGGAACACTGGCATGTAATGTTCTCTCCATTTTGTATTGTCAGACATCCGTCACTGGTCCAGTTTGGTCGGCTTCCTAAAAGACAGAAGCAGAGTATGCAAACAAAACTGGAAGGTTCACGAGTGCATTTGAATGAAGAACATCAGGAAGACTTAAGCATCAACGCTCCAGCAAGTCAGGTTTAATCCAGTTTGCCCCAATGTCACCCAGAATTTAACTTGTTAGATGCTTTGTTATCTTAAGAGTAGTCAGTTTAATTTTAACTTTTTGTTTTCTACAAATTATTTAAATCATTAACATGACAAACACTAATAAAATAACAAATAATCATAACAAATGATCTGACCATGAGGACGCACTTTCAAAGATGCATTTCTCTGAATGTGTCCCGCAGCAAAGACACAAGTGTTCTTTATTTAACAAATACCATGATCAGAAATGGACCTAATAAGCCTTGTTTTTACAGCAGACATTTTGTTCTTCATCCAAGTCCAGTTGCCCTTGACCTCAACCTTCGTTGGATAATCTTACAATCTTTTTTTAAGCAGTATCTGACATCAACATGCAAATTATCAATCGGTACCAATACCTTGACCATCCCATGATTGACAAGATGGAATTCCTTTCTGTAAAGAAAACAACAGAATTGCATTAAAAATATAGAAGTACAAATACTACAAATTTGAAGATGCCCTTGTTATTTTACTTACGTATGTCAAATTCTGAAAATTGATGTTTATTTTGTCTGTGAGATTGGTGATATTGGCTCCCATTTCAACTGCTAAAACCTCATTACCTAAAACCATGCTGTTCTTTGCATCCTGAAAAAAAACGGAACAATTACAAAATAGTAACATGATCACAGTATCATCAGTATCACTGAAGGTGAAAATGAGACATGTTTTCTTACCTTGGCCAGATTGGTGAATCGCATAAGAACTGCAAATACGACACTAACATTCGAACTGAAAGATTTTTCAAATGCTTCTTTTGGCACTGTAACTGATCTTGAAAATGTGGCCATAGTATCTGTGTTGTCTATAATCTGCAAGCAAGAGCAAAACAAGTGTGCTGTCAAAATTGTTTACAGTGTAGTGTTAAAGTCTATATAATAATGAAACTGTTCACTTTAATTGCATCCAATTTTAATTTCAGGAAACTACTTCCCTTCAAAAAATTGTGACCTGTTTTTAAACATTTACATCTTCAGTAAATGGGCTTAGATTTAAAAAAAATCACAATTTTGGAAAATACTGTGCTACTGTTGTGATTTTAAGGATATGTACATGCTGTAAATATTTCTTTATGGTCACATTTTTATTCATTCATCCACTTATTGTGGGCAGTTTCAGATTCACATAGCAAGTTTTGGTCTGTATACAGATACAATGGTAACTCTGTAAAGTGACACACTGCACCAGGCAGTTGTTTGCCAATAAACTGTTCCAGCAAATAACTCTCCCTAAAACCACAAATTGTTTTATTTTTTTAATTAGCATGGCTCTGTGGATGACAATGCCGGTCTCTCTGTCAGTCAGTCCACCGTTTCCATACTAAAATATCTTAGTAACTATTTGTTGGATTGTCATGGCCTTTTGTGCAGACATTTAAAAGTTTTGTTTGTACATTTTGTCAAGACAACCATTGGCCGGATTGCTATGAAATTTGTGTTTGAAAGTTTATGTCCCCCTCTGACTGAAATTTGGTGATCCTAGCACCATTATGAAGTCAAATCAAATGTTTTTATCTATACTATTTATGAGAAATACTTGTAAAACTAATGACATTCCCATCAGCCTCAGCTGTCTTTTGTGTTTAACACTAATTAGCAAATGTTAACATGCTAACACGCTAAACTAAAATGGTAAATATCAGCATTTTAGCAGTTTCTCCAAAATACTGCTGTGCTTACAGAGCTGCTAGGATGACTGCAGACTCAGTCTTATTACGTTTTTGTGTACATATAGATTAACCAAACACGACACATTCACTATTACGCTATTACCTATTAGTTGGAATCTGACCCAAAATCTGCCCAATTATCTTCATAATTCCCCAAATTTTGTCCTTTATTAACCTCACCACAAATGATTTTCCACATTAGAGACATAATGGCTGAATGACACATACTTAAAGTTTATATTGACCACTCATTTCATTACTCTCAGGTTAGCAGGTGACTGAGATACTCATCACATCCAAACACATACTGTTATTCTGAAGTCTGTACTGAAAGTTTTACTCTGTTAATCTGTTGACATAACACATGTATGAAGGTCAAATAAAAGTAGTCCACCTACACTTATACTGTCATTTGGAGACTTATAAGCAAAGAAGACATTGTCTATGCTCGTGGGGTCCGTTTCTCTCTTTAAGATACCCGTGACTCCTTCTCCCACATTCAGTTCAGCTGAAGATACATTGATGGTGGCGGCAAGGTTGGCCATGTTGTCCATCATTTTACTGTTGACAGATAGAAGAATCTTGATCCCATATAGTCGAGGTACTATGCATGCCTTTTAATCAGTACTTTAATATGTTTTGCACATTCTTCCTGTTTAAATTTCTATGTTTAAACAAATAGTTTGAGCAAGATGAGAAGACCAATACATAATGTCAAGTAAGTGAGCTGAATCGTGGAAGTAATACGCTTAGCTCAAAAAGTGGATGCAGGGAGAAACAGCTAGCCTGGCGGTACCCAAAGTAGAAAAATCACAATTTAATACATTCTGTCTTGTTAATGTGTACACATTCAGAAATGTTAAGATTCATGGTTTTATAGTGAGTTTCATGCTGTAACAATTGTTTGGTCAACAACAGCGGGGAGCAGTGACACTGACATTTCCTGGCAAATTGTCATTTTTGCATTTCTGTTAATGAGTGAGCATTAGAGGTGACAGATTTTAAAACTTTGGACAGAACCAGACTTGCTGTTTCCCCCTGCTTCCAATCTTCATGTTAAACTAAGTTAACTAGCTACTTGCTAAAGCTCCACTGTGGTACTATTCTTCTTATCTCACTCTCAGAAGTAGTTTATTACATTTATTTGTCAGGGATCGTGGACAAAAAACATTAATTTCACACACCAGCAAGGTCTCATTCACACTTTGTCATACCCCAAAAGAATGATCTTTTTCTAAACCAAAACAAAGGCTTTCTAACAAGGGGTTAACGAAACGGTCGCAGTTTGGTTTTCTTGCATCAAAGAAAAAAAAATGGACACCATATCTCCTAATTATGAGAAAATATGTTTCCACAAGGATCTGTCCTCGGACCAATCCTGTTCACTTTATATATGCTTCCTTCAGGCAATATTATCAGGAAATATTCCATAAACTTTCATTGTTATGCAGATGATACTCAGTTATATCTATCGATTAAGCCAGATGAAACTCATCAGTTAGCTAAACTTCAAATGTGCCTTCAGGATGTTAAAACCTGGATGACCTGTAATTTTCTAATGTTAAACTCAGATAAAACTGAAGTTATTGTTCTGGGGCCTAAGCACCTCCGTGACGCATTATCTAAAGATATAGTTTCCCTGGATGGCATCGCCCTGGCCTCTAGCACCACTGTGAGGAATCTTGGAGTTATCTTTGATCAGGAGTCAAGTCTCACATTAAGAAAATTTCAAGGACCGCCTTTTTTTTACCTATGTAATATTGCGAAAATTAGGAATATCCTGTCTAAAAATTATGCAGAAAAACTAGTCCATGTATTTGTTACTTCTAGGCTGGATTACTGCAATTCCTTATTATCAGGCTGCTTGAAAAAGTCTAAATGTCTAACTATTTCTTTAACAAATTCATGAAGCACATCTTACGCAGCTTGGGTAGCATCAACTGGTTTTCCTGCTTGAATTGTTACTGTTATATTGAGATCTTTGAGTTTCTCTGTATCAAGTCTAATATCTGGGCCCCTCACTGGCTTAACACAGTTGAGACAGTTTTCTTCTGGTGCTGTGATTTTGATGAAGTACTCGTCCACGCCGTTTCCACCTGAAAGGAAGTGACATCAAGTTTTATTTCTAGCATAAGCTAGCATTTTTGACAACTTGAGAAGATTTCACTACTGTCACTACTACTTAATTCACCAGGGCATCTTTTATTTTAATTTTAAATTGTTATACATTTCACTTCCCTTCACTAAATCAAACATCTGCAAGGTAAAATATACAGTAGTACAGTGGAAACAGCTGATCAGATCTGCCCAGGTCAAATGGATCACTATAAGCAGAAGATTAATTTGAATTTTGTTCTTTATTTCTCATCCATCTTACCATCTAAGTAATTAATGTAATTACATTTGTCTATTTATTACATGGACTTAAAGTAACAGCTTTGTTATTTAGTGACTCTTTCAAACACTTTTCAAATTAATGTAAAAATGTAATTACTGTTGTATGTTAAGGGCCAGGTAGGTTAGGGTAACTTTTTTTTTCACTTTTTTCCTCGTCATGATTTTAATGTTCAGGCAGCAGAAGCCGATGGGTTGCGCAAGACAAGTGTAATAGGAGTAAAGAAAACATTTGAATTTACTGTAGATTAATTTTTTTTTCATGAACGAAAAGACATGATAACAAACTCTGGAAGCAGACAGCTTGATTACTACAAGCAATTCGAAAAAAGTGTTTGTAACGATTCTGTCCCAAGCTTTTTGATCCATATAAGCACTTCACCACTTTAACTGTGATCACTACACACAGTTTCCACTGTATCTAACAGACTGGAGAGCTGCAGAAGCAGCACTTACACATAAATTTTTTGCCATGTTGGTGAACTTACCCATGTTGGTGCACTTCTGTTCATCATAAGTAGACTGTTTACATATGGTTTCTGTATCCAAACATCTAACCTGGCAAGGTCCTATTAATAGAAACATTGTCAGTACCCATCCACAGTAAAGAAGAAATATAAGCATAGTGGGACAAAACTATAGAGGCATACAACTTCAGAAAGTTAATATCTAAAATTATTTAGCATTGTCACTGACATTACTTATTTGAGTATATAAAATTGGTGAACTAAGGGTACCTCATTAACCCTCAGTAAGGGTGGAAAAAAGTGAATATTAGATGTCAATATTGTTTAACTAACAGTTGTAAATTAATTAAAGATAGACTTGATTTATAATTTGAAATTTCCACTTAATATTTTTATTAGCTCTGTTTTTGTCATTTGATTTTAAATGAACTGTCAGAAGAAGTCGGCTTACCTGTGACATTCTGATTGAAGATGCATGTTGAATCTGGATAATAAGAATTATATATTAACAAAAACAAATTATAAACTTTCATGTTTCAATCTTTTTATATTTGTGTCTTTAAGGAAGAACTGTTGTTTTACATTTGTAAAGGGCCAGTTCACCCAAATCGTACACACTCACACTCACACTCACACTCACACACACACTCACACGCACACGCACGCACACACACACACGCGCGCGCGCGCACACACATACACACACACACAACAAACAAACAAGCAAACATTTATATTTTCAAACTCTCCTCTCATCTGTCCTCATGCACTGGATAATACACATTAAGAGAGAGTAGAGTGAGTAGAGTGAGTAGAAAATTGAAAACTGACACTGGAAAATGCCAGATACAGTTATATAATATCACCTGTGAGGCCAGATACTGTGACGTTGCATTTCTTTCCTTGCAGGATATACAGACGTCTTTTATTGTTGATTTTCCCTTTTAAAATCTGCAGTACATAGGCACCATTCTTTGTCTGCAATTGAGGCGACTGTTCACTCCACATTGCTATTAATCAAAAACAGAAATACAGGAACATTTGTATCTTATTGAAATGCTGATGTTTTTAAATCAGCTATTCTGTGAGTTTGACAAGTTGTTTGCACTCACGTCTTCCTGTAGCATTTTCCTGCAGAAATATTATGCAACCATTTTTTCCTGAGGTAAAGAATGGAATCGTGTCAGGTTGTAATTTAATATAAAACATTTTTTGTTGATATTAAGTCATTACACTGTACACACAGCAGGCTGAAAGGTGTGACCCTATTTACACATAATAGGTCATGAAAACGAGCCAAACTGTGTGTGACGATTTCACTCGTCAGATGGAGACCACAAAAATACAGTTCTGTTTCCCAGTAATTTATCATCATTTGAAAAACATAAATAACAATAGCAATTATGCAAAAATATAGGTGCACCCTTCCTCCTAGACTTAGCGTGCTGTTTGGTGCCCCCAGCAACAACATCAATAAAACACATAATAACCATAATACAGCACATGCACTTTAGCTAAGATTTTACAACAATGGTTAAAAAAAAAAAAATAGAGCCTGAAACATTTATATAGCTTGTGATCAATCAACAACTAATGCAATTTAAGTAATTATCAAGTATTTTAAATGAAATTAAAATTAATTAATTATTGTTCGGACTCACTGTGATTCCAATATTGTCCTGCATCAATGACACCACTGAAGTTATCAGCAACAAACAAATAGTCAGTGGTCGTGGTCAAACATGTTGTGAGTTTTTCACATTTGACTTTAGTGCACTGATTGCAGTTTTTTGAAGCTAAAATACCAGAATCAAATCACAAAACAAGTTAAACAAAAATGCCATATTTGTAACACAATATTTTATACAGTATAAAAACATAGTATTTGTTAAGACTTTTCCAGTTTGCTATTTTCATGCTGAACAAATACCATTCCTTATGAGAATATGTGATATGCATGCACAGGTTTGAAGTAAAACAGAGACAAAGCTTTCTATCAGGCTTTAGTACTTGGAGATTGTGTCTACTTACAAACATGAAAAATCCACAGAAGGCCCACAAAAAATACCAAAGTCATCCAGTTCATGTTCTTTTGATGGCATTAAGGGTCAGACAGGATGTGTGATCCAGTCACTGCAGGTTTTTTACTTCTTACCTTTCTTTGGATGAAGTAATGTCAAAGCACTGAACAGCAGCACTGAAAAAGAACAACTGAACCTTTTGACCTGATGAAAATGTTGTCAAGCTGACTTTGCATATCTGCCCGCTGCAGATGTTTTGCTTTGCAAATCTGCTGAAAATGCCACTCTCTCCCATGCAAAATAAACCAAATAACATTACGCTTGGATGAAAATCCAGAGATGATACAACTGAATGAATGGTGGTTGTGACGTACTGTGGCTTGTGTAAATAACATTATTGTTGTTTTGGAGAAATACATATCAAGGATGAGGACAACTTTTACCAAAATGTCATTAGGAATACTATTTTTTAGTTTTTTTTTTATTTTTCAGACAAAGATTGTGTCTACTAACTACTTTTTCAAATTTTAAAAAAATAAAAAGTAAATGTTAAATATTCAGAAGGAAAGTCTAAAATATAAGAAATTAAAATAAATAAATATTTTCAAATTATAATAAAGTTATAATTTTTATTTTTTATTTTACTTCAACAGTTATTTGAAACGGATTGGCCTGCACACGTCCTGTTGTGGCAAGTTTCTCAGCTTCTCCTTGAATGCTTCAGTGACCATGTTCACCAGTGTTGCAGCCTTCACTTTTGCAGCAATGTCCAGGAAGTAACACAGCTTGGACAATTTGGATCCCAGGCTTAATTCCACAACTAGCTCAAAAAGCTTGGAGTGCACATTGTATGTTGTGGCATGTATGTCTTCATCCTTCAGAAAGTTTATCACATGCAGACATCATACTCTCTGTTTTGTCCTTTGCTACGTCCAGGAATCCAGACATGTAGGTGTTAGGTATGTTTTGGATGTAAATATTTATTAATACGTACTGTGTGTTTTTAGGTGAGGTGAGTATGTAAATGTTTTGTTTTGTGAAAATGTATGTATGTGAGCAGGGTTGAAAATGAGTGCCATGGTTGGGGATTTTGTAAAATTTCAGAAACAATGCGTGACCCTCCGTATTTCCATTAGACCTGGCAAATTTCCACTTCTCTTAACTGTTGAGAAAGGAGCCTATAAGTTCTGGTACACACAGCTGATAAATTATTTTGAGCTATTGAAGTATTTACTGCATCACAGGAAAGAGAGAGAAAATTAAAATATTTTCAGATGAAATATCCCATCACATGTCTGCTTTTTTTCATGGCACACTGTGTTTGTGGCATTATCTATGCACACACAGCAAAAAAAGAAAAAGCTGAGAACAGCTGATATATGTTCATTGAATGTATGTGAATGTTAGTTTCTGTCTGAGCACTTAGACTCAGTGTATGAATTTGTGTGAATGGGTAAATGCGATGTTGTATAAAAGTGGTCGCAAAAACTGGAAAAGGCGCTATGTAAATACAGAGCATTTACATGATCAAAAAAACATTTCTTTGTAACTGACCACAAACTGTGCTTCTTCATCTCAGTCACTCAATCAGACTTTATTTGTGTAGCACTTTCACACAAGCAGATGTAATGCAAAGTGCTTCACACAATAAAACAGGCTCAGGCGGCCCACCAAAATCGGTTTGACATCCCTCACCAATACACCATCCTTGCTTTTAAGGGCTTAGATTAGGGGTTTGACAAAACTCTTAGCCCGTGAGACTTCACACTGCACAAATAGTGGGGCCATGACAACAAGACAACAATATATTTTAATAGGCTTAGTATTTGGGGAAAAAAATGTATTGACAAAATAGTTGATAGGGGGGTTTGGGGGCACTCCCCCAGACTTAAACACTTAATATCCTGCATTCTGGAGACATACTTGTATCAACCCTCAAAAACTACCTTGTTATGCCATTTGTCAAACTGAACCCTATAAATCATTGAGCTACATTTTAATTATTAAATATCATAGGCCATTAAATACATTTATTCAGATTTTTATAATTACCACTGATAATTATTTTTAAAAAAAAAAGATTTAAGAGGGGGGTCTGGGGTTCCTCCCCCTGAAAAATGTGGGCTTTAAACACTTCATTTCCTGCATTCTGGTGAATTTCTCTGCACCAATTCATTGAGGAAATGTCTTTATTTATATAAAAGGAAACACAAAATTCAGATGACAATTCAAAAAATAAAAATATAGTGTAATATTTTGTTGTAAGGCTCTCAGGCATTCTGTATTGCTGTCAAATGTGTTTCTCCTGTTTTTTATTTTATTTCATCCCTGCTGAGTCAACACACATGCAGGCATGACTGAAGTAACCTAAAGTCTTTAAATGTGTACGTTGCACCTTTTCACCTCAATGATAAATTAATTCATTTTAATTCAGTTATAAACCCCTGCACCTTAATAGCTCCTATGTTTCAGCAGCTTTTCTGCTCATGTTCAGAACTTTCTGCACATTAAAAATCTCTCCACATATCTGTGTTCTCTGACATTTGCAGAATAACAATTTGAGATATAATATTAGGAGATATAATGACAATGAAGTCATTATATTTTAACAAAATCTACCTGCCCCACTGCTGTGCATTACCCCACCTTACTTATTTACTTACTCTGCTGATATGGTAGTAGGCTGCTACCCCCTTTAGACCGCCTGACAGACACAGAGCCTGTCTGGGACTGTACTGGATGAGACAGCTCACTGCTCTTCATCAGAAGTTAGAAAACCAAAACTGAAAACTCTTGTGATAAGACAGAAATATCACCACACATCCACACACATGTTTACTTCAGTACCTCTGATAAAGTGCAGCTCACAGCCGCTTCAGAGGGAATTAAGCATCCTGGAGCAGAGAGACAGTCAAACAGAGCAAAGGGTCTCTGAGCGAGGGGGACAGAGACAGCAAAGAGAGCGACAGGTGTCTGTGTCGCGGTCAGGTGTGTCCTGTTATTCTTTCACTACTTTGTGGCGACAGTTAACCGTTTGACGCTGACCGACAACACACATTTAGCACTTACAGAGCCAGGTATTTCCCAAAGGGGTTGGTCTAAAACAGAGCTCAAAGTTGAGTGAATATAGGATTTAGCCTACATTCATCATGTGGACGTAAACACAACAAAGGAAATACTAAAATGTTGCTTGTATCTGCTGTGTGTTATGTTGTGTGTATGTAGCCAGCTGTTTCCACTGTCCTTCAGTGGCTAAAAAAATCAGTTATTACGATACTTCTTCCACTACCTACTGATCTGTGTCTGGAAAGACACATTTAATTTGATGCTGTGATCATAAATAAAGCCACTAATTAAATTTCTGGCACCCCTATAACATTTGGATAGACACAGAAATGTAATAGACAAACATTTCAAAACCTGGGCAGGTAAAACTAGTGAATATCTGACGGTGGTGAGATTACAAGGGGCAAATGAGAACATACTGAATGCCTTTTTGTAATTTGGAGGGACCGACCATGAGTTGAAACGATTATTTAATGGACTAACAACATATCCTGCTGTGTCCAGAAGAGGGCAGCGTCGTAGTTTTGTTGCATTTATTGTCACTGACTCAAATTAAATGAAGAAGAGGCGGACGCCGAAGACTGGATGATTCACGGCTAGGAGGAGTTGTACGGTTTGGAGGGCGATTCAAATTACTTTGAGACTCATTAATCTTACAAGGGACAAGTAGTTGATATCTCAATTGGCATCTCCTGTGAGAGTTTGTGTTGTGAGCTGAAGCAGCAGGCAGCTCCCCAACGAGGGATGGGCTATGCCGCCGAAGGGGAAAACTAGTGATGGTGCTGGGAGTAATGACAAAAAGTCCAGACAATCTGAAAAAAGAGATAGATCTGACAATGGAAGTGGAAGTGAGAGTGACGAGTCCCAAAGCACAAGGAAAATGCCAAGATCTGAAGAGGAGGGTGAATTTAGGATGATAGTTAAATTCAAAGATAAAAGTGACAAAGCCTTAAACCCACTCAGACTATCGGAGGAGCTAAAAAACAAAATGGGAAAAGTTCTAAATGTGAAAATGATGATGAATGGGAATATACTTGTTTTTTGCAGAAATGATAATCAGAGGTTGAATGCCCTTAAAGTTCGGCATTTGCTTAACAGGCCTGTTGAATGTTTCGTTCCTGGTCAGGCTAAAAATGCTAAAGGAGTGATCTATGTAAGCCTTGAGATAGAAGAGAGTGACATCTTGAAGAATTTAAAGGGAGCTGAGGTTGTAGCTGTACGGAGATTCAAAGAAACCGGTAATGCTGTGCTATTAACATTCAAGCAAGATATTGTGCCAGCAAGGGTTAGCCTTGGATATATTAGCTTGCCAGTGAGACAGTATATTCGTCCCCCACTGCGTTGTTACAATTGTCAACGCTATGGCCATGTAGCAGCAGCATGCGGAGGGAAAAAAAGATGTGGGAAGTGTGGAGGAAGCCATGACTTTATTCAATGTAAAGCTGATATAGTCAAGTGCTGTAACTGTGGCGGAAATCATGTATCTTCATTTAGGGGGTGTGAGCATCATGTTAGAGCTGTGGGAGTAGAGAAATTGAGAGTTGAAGGCAAAATATCATATGCAGATGCCCTGAAGAAAGTGAGGGGAACGGGGGAACCTTCCAGACAAGTGGTAGTTGAAGTGCCTTCTGATTCCCAGCCTGATAGGGAGAAAGTGAGGCAGATTGTGGGAACCCAGTCATTCCTGGCATTCATGGTAGATGTTCTGTGGGCAGTTAGAGACCAAACCAGAAGATCTGACGTTATTAAAGTGGTGGTGGATGCTGCAGAGAGATTTCTGGAAGAGGCATGTATGGGTCCAGAAGAGTTGCACAAGTATATGAGACAGAAACTGGAAGTTTACGAAAGAGGTAGGGGAAAACAAAAGATCACTGACAGTAATGAGGAATGTACTGGGGGAAGAAACATGGACATAAATGATGATAGGTAAATTGCTGATGTTTTACATCTTACAATGGAATGCACGGAGTTTGATGGCTAATGGACAGGAACTTAAGAGATTTGTTGATGAATTTAAGGATCTACCAGAGGTGATATGTATTCAGGAAACTTGGCTTAAACCATGCTTAGATTTTGTGATTCCTGGATATGAAAGTAACAGATATGATAGAAAA